CGCTGTTGGATTTTAAAAACGCGAAAATACAAATAGCGATATTGAATTTTTAAATTGCGTAAATAAGAATCACGATGAATAATTTTTAGATCACGTGAATACGAATCGCAATGAGTAATTTTTAAATAGCGTACAAATACGAAAAACGAGATCTGATATTACAACTGCGTGATAACGAATCGCAATATTGGATTTAAAAATGCGTGAATACGAATCGCGACGTTGGATTTTAAACTCGCGAGAATACAGATCGCGATATTGAATTTTTAAATTGAGTGAATAGGAATTGCTAGTACGATTTTTAAATAGCGTAAAAAAATCGCAACACGTAAGTTTTAAATCAGTTAAATACGAAAATCGATGATTGATATTCAAATCGTCTGATTAAAAATCGCGATTTTAGCATATTCCAGCGCAGTTCTTAATATTTAAAATTCCAAAAATCAGCCAAACAAAAAAAAAATCAAATATCGGTGGTCGAAACGAAACGCTTAGACTCCTTTCTACTCTATAGCGGAAGCCGCGGTAATCCGACTATCTTGGCTTGAGTTTCTCTAATTGGACTCCCTAAAAATTTTAGTTTCTGGAACATGGTCGGAAATTTTAAAAATTGGGAGAAAAAAGCGGATTTCCGCTTTTTTGCGGAATTGCAAGTATTTCATCAAACATGTAAAATGATTGGCGTTTTATATGCTATAAACCAGCGGTAGGGCCAAAATAGATTGTGAATAACGTTAAATAGAATAATGTAAAAAACATGCGTTTGCATAATACATGACGAAATTCGAAATGGTTGAAGAAAAAAAATCTCATTTTCGAAAAGGGAAAATTAAGCACTTAAAAACGCCCCATGAAAAAAAGCAGCTTTAAGGGCTTTTAAAAACGAAAATAAGAACCTTTAAGCACTTTTTAAAAAAGCTATGCACCATGCAAGACAATTTGAATGATCTAAAAAAAATTTCTACGAATAATGCATAAGTGTGTCACAAAGAATGGGAGAGAGGGCATCGTGCATGACTAAGCCTAAATTTGTTCATAGAAATTACCATTGAATAGTAGTTAAAGTTAGGTGAACGCAGGAATTGACACACAATTTGTTGCAATTTTTCTTGAACGAAGATTAATTTCTTATGTGAGCTTAATTTCATCTTTGTCTGACAGTGAAGATAATGTTTTGTCAAACTATACACAGAAATATTTTATATGTTGACTCTGTGCATTTTTCATTAATTTTGTCAACAACTTTGCATCAGATAAATATTTGACTCTTTAAAGTTATCTTGGCATAAGTTGCAATTTTTTTAATTAAAGTGCTTGTTCATATATTTTTTCCCTCCTTAAAGATGCTTGCTGGTTACTTTTTATATTTCCTTGATTGCTGCACTTGGCAATTTTCCCTTCTTTAGGAACATAAAATGCCTTTGACTTTTCTAATATAAAATTTGTGACAGTAATCAAATCCCAATTTACCTTTATCAACAATTAATCTTTGATATTTTTCAGAAAAATGTTGTAACTGTTCTTAAAATGGAATCAGAAAACCACAACAATTCAAAAGAAACAATATGTGTTAATCCGGAAAATGAAACTAATCTCCCTGAATGATGGACAGAAGAACAATTTCAATATTTTTCTTAAAAAATATGAGGAATTAATAAGATATCCACCCTAGCTATGAGGGTGAGTTAGATACGAACTCTTGTACATCTACCAGGTAGATGTGCACACTCAGTGGAGCGAAGAAATTTTAATAATTAGTAAATGGCACTTTAGACATTTTAAGAATCAGTAAGTGATACTTTAGATATTTGAAGAGCCAGTACGCACGTACTGGCTGAATCCCATCGCTGGATTTAACAAATCACTCATATTAAAAAATATTTACCAAATCTAGTGGAAAACTCTCTTTTTTTATAGTACCAGTGGTCGGAAAGAATTTTAAAGTAGACAGGTTTACCAAGTGTGCAATCAACTTCAAATTTCGTCTGGGTCGGTTCAGAATTGCAGATTTGTATAAAATACACATAAACATTATGCTTTATTTATATAGAGAGATTTCCTTTAATTTAATTATTAATAAGTCTTAAAATTGATATAAAATTTGTAATTGTGTATTTACAATGAGATAATAAGTAGGTATTATTCTGTCTCAGAAGACTATAAAAAAATCACCAAACTATTATTGACATCAGTGATACATAGTTACGATAATAGGAACTACAGGTACTGTGGCTGTAAATACCTTAATTAATTAATTTAGGTACTGTAGTGATAGTTTTTTATGGCCTGCGGAAATGTAGTAGAACCAAAATGTGTATAACTTAAAGGTTTCACAAAATATGTTTCACATTTTTTTAAAACAACATTTTAAAAAAATTATTAGCATATACACAAAGCTAAACCAAAACACATTTGAATCCAATAAATAAGCAAAACCATATTGAATTGCTAAGTAATCCTAAAGCAGTTCTTTTCAAAAAATTAGACATAGGTCACCAGTAAATTTATTCAAAAACGCATTTATAGAAAAGAAAGACTGAAAAAAAGAATTTTAAGAATTTATTCATATTGCCAGCAACTTTATAATCTATTGCAAAGCTCATGTTTAAATTAAAATTTCATGCTTCATTGAAAAATTAATTTAATTCAAAATATGTACAATTTATTTCTAATTCAAATGGAACATTTAAGTAAAAGCTAAATAATGCTATTTTCTATATAAATGAACAAATATTTTAATGACACACATTATGAGTTATCCTTCTGAAGTAATGCTGATGTTATGTCCACTTTTTTAAGCTCTTCAATTAATTCTCCACTTTGATGCATTTGTAACAAGATATCACATCCACCGATAAATTCTCCATCAATATATATTTGTGGTATTGTCGGCCAGTTGGAAAAATCTTTAATTCCTACAACAACAAAAATATCATAAATATATATTGTATAGATAAATTGGGAATAATTTTGAAAATATTACAAGAATTAATAAATTATGAAATAAGACAATCGCAAAAGTTTGGAGAAAAAATGTCTAGTAAAAATATTTTTATATTTGGCTTACTCCTTCTTAAAAATTGAGTTATTTTTTAGAGAAAACTTCATAACAGTTTTAATGAAGAAATTAGCATTCATAGATTTTTAACACTCAGCCAATAAAATAATTGAAAAATGAAGTAATTGAAAAAAAAAAGCATCTATTACATAAAATTGAAGATATTTATTGTAATTGTTATAATTGTATTTTGTTTAAAAATTTTAAGTAAAAAAAGGTATTTTCTTAACAATAAATTTTAAAAAAAAATTAAAAATTACAAATACGTATACAGTAAAACAAGGAATGAAAATAATTTCTTAATTATAAATTTTTAAGACATGACAACCCAATTAGTCTTGAATTATTTGAAAAGTTATTGTTTTAAGAAAGAGATAAAAAATATACACTTATTTCATGCAAATATTTAGCCAATATTTTATTTTATTGAAATAAACTTAATAGAATTATTGCTAAGGTGATTATTCAAAATTCTTTTAATCATATAGAATGAAAAAAAAAAAAAAACACAATTATCTGCCCAAACTGCCCCCTCCATAGAAAAAAAAAACTTGCAATCAGGGTTGGATTTTTGCCATCAAAAACTGGTTTTTGACATGACAGTGGTAAAAACCGTGTTTTTACCGGTAAAAACCGTCAAAAACCTACTGTTTTCTTTAATTTATGGCATATAGCGGACAATATATTATTTTCACATAATTGCCTTTATAAATGAATGTTGTAAATGATTGCTATTGATTTTGCAACTATATACATGTATTCTTATAGAAGGATATACATTCATACAGAAATATTGTAATATACTTATTGAAAATAGTGCTACTTACTTTTATCATTATAGCTTGATTTGCAAAGGATTTAAAATTTTGCACTTCTTAATTGTTAGAAATAAACAAACAAACAAAAAAGCTTGGAACTATTAATAAATTCAAGAACTAAAAAGAAGAATTTAAAATTTGGCATTTCTTAAATATTAGCTAAACAAAACTTTCAAAACTTGTAACTACTAACAAACTCTAAGTCAAGAATTACTGTTATTTTGTCAAGTTAAAAGCTTTTATTCAGTTGAAAAAGCACATTAAACAAAACTTAATTATAAACAAAATTACATGTTCAGTAGTCGGGGTCACTGTGCCGAAGCATACGATAGCAAGTGACTAATTTTGCAAATTTTTCATTGCCCAGTCGATTTCTGAGTTTAGTATGGATGAGTCTAAAATTCAAGAAGATTCTTTTAATGGAAGACCACCAGTCTAGTTCTAAGGAAGCCTGTCATTGAGGATAATGATAACAAAAGGTTATTGCAAAGGCAACCCTTAAAGGATTTCCCAAGCTTTTTCATGTCTCATTTCTGTGTAAAATATTGAAAACAAAAATGATACAAAAAGTTTATTTTATGAGGCTTTCTTTTTATGTGTAGTGTACATGTGTTTCTCAAAGATTTTATGAATGAAAGTAATCAATCTTGACATTTTTCAGTAATGTAATATGCCAAACAAAATGATGCTTGGAAATGTTGAAAATTTTTTTAGTATCTTAATATTTTACTTCAAATGGTATGTTTTGATATAATCATGTTGGGAAAATGCATGAATCTGTTCTTAAATATCTTTTAACAACTTTTTTTCTAATTTTATTCCCCAAAAATTGATTAATTTTAAATTATAAGCAGTTAAACTCAAATAAAAATACAGTTTTAGCAAAAGTATGGGTTTTTGACATGACGGTAAAAACCATGGTAATAACCGGTAAAAACCGTCATGTGTCAAAAACTTGCCAACCCTGCTTGCAATTGTTACGACAGTCTTGAAAGCAACTTTGCCACATCATGTTAAGAAAACGGTCTTCTTGAATGATACTCTTTTCAAGAATTTTGTACACTTGCCAAAATAATAAACCCAAAAATACATAAAAATTTATAATTACATTTTGTATATAGAAAAAATACTATATTATTTCTCATTATCCTTTATTATTTATTACTTTTGTGACATTATTATCTCATTCTTGCATCTGTTTCAGATAAAGATCAGGAAGTAGACATTTTATCAAACGACAAGAAATTTTGTCTTTTGCAGAGTTGAATGGTCTCTTTTACAATCAGCAAGGTGCCAGATTTTTAACTTGCAAAGAGCACAATTTTCCCAGGGGTGATTACAAGGAGATATCAACTTCCAAATTTTTTTTTAAAAAAAAACATGTAGATGTTTGCTCGGGGGTGGCTAACGAGTTGGTCCCTTTCTGTGATGATTTTTTAAGTTTCTCGTAGGCAGCTGCCCAAAAGTTGCCAAGACTTGGCAGTTATTCTGCCACAAATAACGACACAAAAATCTTCCCATTACGAATTAAACTTTCTGAGTTGGTTCACTTCTGTAATTTTTTTTTTTCTCGCGGCCACTACTTAGAATGGCCAAGACTTAGCGGTTATATACGGAAATCCTCTCATTAGAAGTTTGAATATTTATGATTTATATTCATATAAATTTTAAAATGATATAAAGTACATTAAATACAATATTTACATAAACATAGTAGGTACTTATAAAATATGTTATTTAACAACAGTAGAGTCAACAACAATAAAAATAAAATCATTCACACAATCATGAGTGAGTCTAAACAATTAGACATTAAAATAAACATGCCTTGTCTCATTTTCTCGTCTTCAAGAACGTTATGGCTATCATATTTCACACCGTGCATACGAAGAATCTGAACTACTGCATTGCTAAATCCACAACGAGGTTGGTCAGGAACACCTTTCATGAAAATTACAACTTTGTTATTATTCACTAATTTTTGAATCTCTTCTTTTGAACAACTACAATAATTTCGAAACGAAAAAATAGAGGTTCTCAGAAAATTGCTAGAAAATAAACGATTAGCCATGTTAGTATTTCATGTGTGTTATTAAATTTAGTAGATTAACGTTTCCGGCTATTTGTTTCTGCTTCATATAGGATCTTTTCATGCCTGCCGAAAAGTGTTTTTTAAATTAATAGTAGTTTAGGTGTTATCTATATCATTTAAGTATTACAAGGATGGTAGAGTTCGGATGGATTTATTTCAAATGCAGCAGAAATAAGCATCTATTAGTATCAAATTTTCAAAATCAACAAAAAAGTGGTTGATTTCAAATCATACGTTTAGTGAAATTTAAAAATTCCTGATTTTGATGGTTAATAACTACTCTTTTGATGATTTAATTTCAAGTGGCTGATGAAATGTTTCAATCTTAATTCTTTTTTAAATTGCGTCCGAAACCTTTTATATGAAAAATGTCTGAATGCTTCGTAAAATTCGAAAATCCAGTTTCAAAAGAAACCATTAATTATTTGGTTGTTGAATACTTGAAATATACTTTATACTCTAGAGGACAATTTCCCCTTCCTCTTGATCAATTGAAAAGAACAATACAGACGACCACAGAAAAATTCGAGGCTGTAAAAATTGATGACCATACTGTGTATTACGATGAAAACTGCCAACATCCTGTAAGTACTTTGATGACATCTGAAAAAAATCCTTCCTTGTGCTTTAAAATTACTTGTTTATTGCATTCATTTTATTAATATTTTTTGCTCATTGCATTCATTCATCATTATTCATTTTCTTGCTTAATAATTAGAATAATGTATCAAAATTTTATTTTTAAAAAATTTTAAAATTTATTTTTTGACTAATCACTGATTCATCAACTGAAAATTAAATTTAAAGAAACTAAATTGTGGCATAAAAATATTAAAATCAATATTTTGATTTATAATAATTAACGACTTGTGGTTATTACCTGTAATATAAACCAAATATAGTTATAATTATATAGCAAATAATTTTGATCTTATAGAGTGCCATGTTTTTAGAAAAATCAATTAATAGTTTTAACAATTTTTCGGTTACATTTTTCATCCATTTATATGTGATATAAATCATTTTTTTTTTTTTCGAAATTGTTATGGCATATCTATGAGATATATAAATAGCTCTAAATTCAAGAAGTTTGAATCCTAGGGACTATCCACTCAACTGAACAAAATATTAAAGTATCTTATTGTGGATTTGTGATTTTAAAAATTTTCAGTAATCTTGAATTATTTTATAAAGGTAAAAACACTCACTCTTTTCTTAGTTGTTAGATTCATAGAAATTACAAGTTTAAGTGCCCTTTACTTATCTAATAGATGTTATTAGCGAATGCTGTTACAAATCTTTTATGATTTCATAATTTGATTTCTCTTTATCATTTCATTTTATTTAAAAACAATTGAAATTTTTAAATTCAATAATACATTTGACAAATAGCTGGGTTGAGGGATCATTATAATTTACTTTTAACAATTATTTAATTAAAGATATATTACAATCTCTAATATTGAATCTTATCTTTAAATTGAATGAGCCTTTGGGGATATTTCTGTATTGTAATCTGTCGCGGCAAGTACAATCGCCAAAGTGCCAAATAGATTTTAAACTTGCACATTTTCTTAAAAAAAATATGTAGATGTTTGCCCGGGGGTGGCTACAAGTTATACCTTTCGAGTTAGCCCCTTTCTTTGATGATGTTTTTTTCAGTTTCTCGCGGGCCACTGACCAGAAGTTTCCAAGACTTGGCGATTATTCTGCCGCAGATCACGATATGGAAATCTCCCTGTGCCTTTTCTAATTTCCCTGCTTTGTAGTTTTTACCTTTTTTAATCTTTATGATAATTATAACTGTATCTAATTAACAATTCAATAATCAATGAAAATTTAACTGGCACTATTCACTAATTTGGGTACTTTGTAGAGGCAAAAATTGTACAGATGTGACATAGTCAATGAAAGACAGGCAATTTAAAGATGTAGATACTCTTTTAAAAAAAGAGTTTTAAAACATTTTTTAAGTGCTTAATTTTCTCTTTTCTAAAGTGATATTTTTCCTGTTTATTTTCGCTACGAATTATGCAGAAAGACACTGCTCCCATTGTTTAATTCAACATATTCACAATTATTTCAACCCCAATCTATTTCGCAAATCGTCAGTCTGTAGCGTATGATAACGCCATTCGATTTACATCATTCAAAAGTTTTGACAATTGTCAAAAACAATACCAAATTTTTTATTTTTTTATTGACATGACTATTAAAACCAGATAAAACCGTCAATTGTCAAAAACTTTTCTACCCTACCTAAGTATGATGTTTTTTTAGAGTGCTAAAAAATATTATTTGAGTGCTTAAAATGTGTTTATTTTTTGTTGAATAATTTGGCTATGCACCCTGTAAATAAGTTTTGAGAACTTACACAAGGAGAGAGACCTTTTGAGAACCAACCAAAAGAATTCCAGAATATAAATGGTTTTAAATATTAATGGCTCTCTTTTCCCCTTTTCTTTTACTAAAACATGTTGAGATCTCTGTATTATTTAAAATTAGAAATAATAGGGTCATATCCTTTTAATGATTATCATTATTATTAATGACTGGCAGATCATAAAAATCAGATTATTTGTAGTAAGTAAAAGGCTATTAGAAAAGTGAAATTCTCTTTGACAACAGCATAATTTTCTTCTGATATATGAAATATTCAGAACTACTTTTAAGTTCGACCTCAAAATAAAAAGCTTCAACCAAATGCTTAACATGTGCTGGCATTCCTCTAGCATGCGCATGAATGCTTTGAGATAATTTGTAGAAAAAAAAAATTTCTCTTAATGTGTATGTTTATAAAACCGCTCCTAAAACAGGACTAGAAATACTAACAAGAATTTGATACATGTATTTTAAAATAAGTAATCAAGGATGCAACACGACTTCTGATTTATCAATAATTTTACTAATTGCAACACTTTACATATGGTTGAATTTCATAAAAGTATTGTAGTTGTCACATAGAAGTATTTTCAATTAAAAAAAATTTATGAATGTCAAAAAGTTTTAAATTTCATTCTTATTTAATGCAAGCTCTAGGCTGATCTTACATCAGCTTTTTAGTCATTAGTCACTGTAATAGCATGCCCTGTTGGCAGCAAAGCATTAAATACATTCGCATTTTGTAGACATCTCTATGCTGCTTAGATATTCAATGACCATAATTGTAATAAATTTAATTTATTTATGAATGGTAAAATGAGTTGTATCACTTTTAATAATTATATAAATTTTATTTTTACGCAGAGTTCCAAGCCTAAAAAAAGAAGTGAAAGGACCAAGCAAAATTTTATGGATTCAATTACAAGATTTGATAAATTCTTTATCCAATTACAAGAAATACTACAAAATGAAGAAGTTCTAGAAGTCGTCTTAAGTTTGGGTGCTAATATGATGAATCCTCGTGAGCTTCATCGAATCACTCTACCAGTTTATTGTCAAGAAACTACTTGTGCTAATGATCCTTCTAAATTTCAACGCTATCGTCTGGAATTCTTTAAGATCCTAATGGAAAGTTCTATTTTACAAGATATAGGTTTAGACAATCCTACTTCCATATCTGTTCTCTTAAAGTTGAAATCTGGGGTAACACTTACAGAATATATGGAGCAAAAGAGATTTTATGCCCCTCCACAGAAATGTAAACAAGTTATTCTGCGATTTGATAGTAATAGTGTGGCCAATTTTGATTTAGAATGTTCTCCTGAAAAAAACTCTAAAAGCAATGCAGCTGTGGCTTGTCAATCTTCAGATTTATGGGTTAAACTAAAATCTGAACTTAAAGGATTTAAAATTTTGAAAGAATCTGTAACAGACTTGACTGTCAACATCTTCTGATATGAATTTTAATGTTATGGAAATTTCGTCACATTAATATGCACCTAATAATTGATTAGAACTGATTAAATTATAACTTTTATGTTGCATTAAACATAGAATTTTTTTTTTTATCAAAAAAATAATTGTATTTTAAACATTATATTTTTAATACATCTTGTAATGAAGCACTTGGTTTTAAAAAAAAATTTCTCGAATTTATTTCTTACCCATATAAATAATTTACAAGCAATAACACATTTTAACAATTTTATTTTGATATACTTCTGTTTGTCTAGCAAGAGAGCTCCCGTCTAAGCCACTGGGGCTATCTACTACTATGTAAACAAGATGGTCTTTTAAAAAGGAAACTTCTTTCACGCTAGCCAAAACCTGAGTATTGACTCACCATCTTTACTTAAACTTGTTTCATCTCACTCCAATGTTTCAGACAACTGACGACAAAATTATTTTGTTAAGAGTCTATGCTGGTTGTAGAAATGCAGCAAGATTATTATAAAGGCATATGTGCAATGTTATGTAAAGTAAATTGCAAGAAAGTCAGACTCATTTTTAAAATAACAATGAATGTGTTTCAAACTAAAAAAAAAAAAAACATAGTCAAATTGTAGCTATACTATCTCAAAAGTGCAGAAAAAATTGTTGGTCTCTTAATGTCAAAATTAAATTGTTATACAATTTGCTTAATCCTTCGTACAGTATGGCTAATTTCAATTTTGGTGTTATATACAGTAGGGAACCGATTATCCGGAACGATCGGGACCATCGCTATTCCGGATAACTGATTTTTCCGGTTTTCTGAATCGCTACAAAAAGCCGTTTTTTTATTGTTAAACCCAACTAAAAAAAAAATTTGGAAATAATCTGAATAAGAAAAAACGATGAAGTAATACACTAATGATTCTTTCCAAAATGATAAAAGGTAACCATCTTTCAAAATAGAAAAAAAAAATCCTAAACTCTTATGAGGAAAAAAAAATTTTTTTTGAAAATGGCAGGAAAATTTATCGAATTTCGTTCCGGTTTCTTGGTTTTCTGATTTCCGGATAACGGGTTCTGTACTATATATATCTACTAAATTCAATTCTCCATGAGGCATATTATATAATTTAGTTTAATCTTATATGCAACCATCCATAATTGGCAGCAGGATATTATTTTTAGTTGATAGTAGCTTTGTATGTTTAAATTATTAATTTTACTAAAATGGCTTTTATTCCCTTGCTCCTACTGTCAGTCTAATAAATTCCCACCGTAGTCTGGAGTTTTGGAAACAAGAAAAGATACATTTTTCTCACCAATTGGAGTCAAAACAAGTCCTAAGAGTTTACCTCACCCTCACATCCTTATCGACAGTGCTCTAAGGTACTTGTCAGGGATGTTCTTTCGTTAAACTGACGGTAGGTATAATTGCCATCTATTAAAATAATTTTGTTCTGGGGGTTTTATAAAAGCACATCAACTAAATCCTATAAAAGTATATCAAATTAAATTCATAGATGCAAGTGTGCAGAAAAAGTTTTATGTATTAACTAAATAAATTTTGTATTTTTTCCCATTCTTAATAAAAACCACTCGCAACAATTCGTATTAATACTTGCCACAACAGCAGCTTCTGAATAAAGACTGTTTTTTCAGAGTGAATTGGGCATATTCAAGATTGAGGAGCAGTCTTTAAATAAAATCGTTAAATTTTCATTTAATGATCCGAAAAAACTATCAGATGATCAAGTAGATAAAATTATCACAATATTTGGAAAATTGCGGGATAAGCATTACAAAATTTTTTAAGCCATTTTCTACCTACATGGATCATTTTGTATTGTGCACATTATCAAAATAATCAACATGTGTAATCAAGATAAGTATCATAACGTAATTTTAATTAGTCAATATATCTGTATTAATTGTAAATAGTGACATAATAAAAAAAAATTTGGTCATAAAGAGTTGTAAGCATGAATTTTTATTAAGGGAAATATTTCCTTCCAAATTAATGTTTTCTTTTCCCTCTTAGCCCCTTCCTCTTTTAATTTATTTAAAATGTTTTAAAGTTGAAATACATTCCCTACTAAATGTTGAATCTTAATTTACAAAGGTTTTAATTTTAATCCTGCACCTGTAAACTTTCTTTAAAGTATTTAACGTGCATTTATTTTATTAACCAGAATATTTAATTTTTTTTTAAATTTTATTCCATAAACAATAAAAATTTTATCTTTAAATGAACTTGAGTATTATGTGATAAAATACATGAATTTTCCCATGTTTTTATTTATTACAATTTGAATTTTTTTCTGATAATTGATTCTGATTTTTCCCTAAGGCTGAGGGCTAGCTGTTTTTGCTTTCCTCGGTGAAATAGATATCCCACAATTACTAATTGATAATTTGTTAGCTACAAATTATCAATTAGTAATTGATAATTACTAATTGATAATTTGTAGTCAACTACAAATTATCACTTGGAACTTGTCAACTACAAATTATCAATTAGAACTTGTTGTCAACTACAAATTATCAATTAGTACTGTTAGTTTGTGGTCGCCCCCTTTTACATGGTGGACGCTAGAGGAAGGGGGGTTTCAACGGCGAGAGGACCACTCGTCTGGTCAGCAGATTGGGGAGATAAGGAGTTGACCCCGTCCGGGGAGTCTGTCGAGGCNGTTTTTGTTTTACTTTTAATCATTTTTTACCCTATAAACTTTCTTTAAATGAAAGTATTTATCTTGCATTTATTTTATTAACTAGAATATTTATTTATTTTTTAAATTTTATTCTATAAACAATAAAAATTTTATCTTTAAATGAACTTAGTATTATGTGATAAAATACATGAATTTTCCCATGTTTTTATTTTATTACAATTTGAATTTTTTTCTGATAATTGATTCTGATTTTTCCCTAAGTAATCAGTTTTACAGCATGAAATTTTATGTGAACATAATACAAGGGTAATTGTTAAAAAGAATTTGGTGGCTAGAACAATGATGTTTATATAACTATCACTACCTATAATTGCTGTTAACATTTCTAAATACTTGGGCATGCCCCTCCCTACCCTACAGGAAAAAGAAATTCAACTCAAGGAAAAATACAAAAAATTTTATGTTCTGCAGCTCCACAGCACACAAGAATATAAAACTTAAGATAATCACTAAAATCATTCCTCAATACAGTGAATGGCTCTCTAGCATTTCAAGGGGAATTCATTTGAAAGTGGACACTTCTATTTTTCTTCACATATTCAATCCTCCTCTATGCCCCACCCATAGTCCTTTATTAGAGCAAAACAATTTCAGAAGTATTTTTTTATGAACTGAAAATAAAATTTTACTTTGTGGTGTGGGAAATTTTTTTCTATAAACAAACTAGTTTTTTTTAAATTCATAGTATACAGATGACAATTACAAAAGATATTAGAAAAATTAAGTAAATATAAAGTTAAAATGAATATAAAGTTAAAGTTTAAATGATGTTAAAGTTAAAGTATTGCAGTTTTGTTTTTATGTATGTTAAATAGGAATTATCTGTTAAACAAGGAAAGTCACAAATGTACATTTTATTGAGAATTTATTATATCATTTTCCTTAGAAGTGTATTAATTTTGTCTTCTCTGTTCCCAAAATCTCCACCTTCAACGTAATGAATAGTCTTCTTACGCCATCCTCCTTTAGGGTTGTTTAACTTAAAGTGCCACAAGAAGTTAGTGGCCTTCTTGAAATTGGGGCCACAAGTGGCAATTTCGTGAATCAAATCCTCCATACAGATAATGCCATGTTTACCTAGAAAAAAATACAAAATGATTATCTTCAGATATGTCCAGAAAGCTAAGAATAGCAGCAATCTATATTAAATCATAAAATCACCTATTTGAACTACCAGGTGCTTCATGAAGAAATACATGACATTTTCAAGAAAAAAAAAGTATTTAGATGCAAATTTATATATATATTAGATGAGGTCAAAATGTTTCAAAAAATTATAGAGAAATTCCACCAGCGAAGATCAGCGCTACGAACAAAAACCTTCCCATTTAATACAGATAGTTTCTCGCTAACTCTGTGGGTGAAAAAAAAATCGCTTTCTAAATTTTTCATCCTTTGAGGCCACCAGGAAAACGTCACTAAATATTTGAAAAATTTGCAACTTTTCTCAGATAAAACTAATTTTCATTAACAATAATAACAGTATCTCTAAATAAATAGCCAAATCTTAAAAAAATTAAAACAAAAGCCAAACAGTTTTAGAAAACAAAATTTTGACAGACAGCTTTAACAAAAAAAAAAAAAAAAAAAAGGATGAACTGCTTCACTGCAAAAATATTTTTCAAATTACAAAAAACTATTAATGTAAAAATCTACCAAAATTCTTAATTCTGATAATTAGTAGGGAAATACAAATGATCTGTCTGCCACTGAGGATATATCAAACGAGCACTATCGTTTGTCTGAGCTGGGTGCGGGACCAGTTCCAGTCACTGGAAGGGGAACACACTATCCCTTGTAAAAAATAAATACCTTGACAATTATCTCTCTTTGACTTTTGGGGACCCTTAAAGTCAACTAGACCAAGTGTGCACAAACCAATGAAAAATAAAAGGAGAAAAAAAACACTCAATGCTTTATCCCCATAATTTAGAAAACAATAAAGCAAAAAAGCTCCTGCAGGCCTTATTGCCAAGAAAAAAAATCAAGAATCTAAAATTTTATGAAAATACAATACATTGACACAAAGAAGATGTTCGGGGTGAAAAAACAACACTACTATGGAGGATGACAATATCAATTCAACCAAATATTCTTCAGCAGCTCCTTTTTTCTTACGGGAAGATGAACCTTTACGAAACTTAATTGAATTCTTCAACACAACCATTAGAAGAAAATCTAGATTTTTTTTTGATTATGTATTTGGATGTTTTAGGTACTCGTCACTTAAGATGACTGGCAAAAATTTAGACACATCAATCTGAGCACTTATCCAATGATGGATAATCATTACAAATATATAACAAAAAATAACAAAGCACCAAGAAATGCAGAGCTAGAATAGCCATCTAAGTAAAACAGTGAAATGTCGCTTTTTTAAAAAATATAGCAGTTGTTATCACAAGAGAAAATGTTTTTTTAACCAATTTTGTAGCTTTATTAAAATGCCATAAGGAAACAAACTCAGTTGCCACATACCAAATATACATTTCTTTTAAAAAAAACTTTGCACACCACAAAATCAGGGTAGTTATTAACGTTTAGAATAATTATCATAAGCATTTATGGCATGAAACACAGAGAATGCTATGTTAAATTAACCATCTCTATAGAATCATATAGGCTTTACTCACCCAATTTAGACTCAATGATAGAATTATCAGTGAGAGCGATCCTTTTGTGATTAACTCTACCAAATCCTCGTTTGTATACAAGATCCTTAATAGTCTTTAAGTTAGGATACCTATAGAAATTAAACAGAACATTAATTTACACTGTTAAGATGAATGAAAACATAACAATGGGATAACTTCATGAAAAAATACCAAAAGCTAGAAGAAAAATGTATACGTAGAGAACATATGCTTGATTCTTGTTAATAAATTCTTTAATCATAAATACTTTAAATCACATTCAATTATTTAATAATGAAATTCCTATGCTTAAGTAAATATCATGATCACGAATTGCACATTTGTAAAATACAAACATGTTATTAGTAAACCTAGATAACATTGTAAGTTCAAAATCGCATTGACACAAATAGTTAAGTGTGATCTTAAAGTTCAGCGAATATTAATTGCAATTTATTAATTTTAAATCGAGTGAGCATGGATCACAAATGTAGGATTTTTGAAACATGTGAACACAAACCAAGATGCATTATCGAACTAATACAAACTTAAAACGAGCATGAAAAGTTTAAGGTACTGCATTAAGAAACATTTAAAAATAGAATGAGAAAAAGGAAGAGAATCAAATGATGTTCATGACTAGACTTAATATTTACTGGAATCATACATTAGAGAAGTGCCAATTTTAGGGAAAAAAGTACCATTAGCAAGGTTTAATGAGGAACCTTCCAAGAACAAAAACTCTTGAACAAGGTGCTCCACCAGCGTGCACCCACTACTAGATATGCAAATTTTTTTCATCAATTCAATTACTTTAACCCAGGACATTTTTTCAAATCCCTGGAGCTCAACTCCAGCATGCAAATAAATGCACGACCCTCATTTTTGTCCTACTACAAACAAAATATTTTTTTTAACAAATAATACTTACCCCCATGTAATAAAAGGTTCAGCAATGTGTAACATATTGATTGTAGCCTTATTTAACTTGACAAACATAGCATTGTTAATTTGTCTCAGCCTCAAAAGTTGCAGAACTTTCCTGGGCTTTGGACTAACTCCATTAATACTGTAAGGGAAAAAAAAATATATAAATAAATTCAATTCAACATTTAATAAAACTCTAGGCTAGCAGCAAATAAAATTAAGTTTCTAAAACGAGAAAACTATAAACAAGAATGACCAAAACAAAAATATTCTGATGCTTCATTCACTAAGGTTTATGTGATAAAATTAAAGGTTTTTTTTCACATTGTGCTTCTTTATTCAATCTGGAAATCAAGGAGGTCACTATCCAGATAAAGTTAAATTTCAGAACATATATATATATCACATTTAGCAGAACTTTATCTTATTAAAATTAACATATCCATCAAAACAAAATATACAAGAAATCTTTGTTAAATTGACAAACAAAATAACTCATTAAATCCATCACAGAACTGCAGTAATTAAAATCTTAAAATTGAAAGTCTAGCTGTCAACATGGATAGGAAAAAATCCAGTAGAATTCAGGAAATATGAATTTCATGATAATCATTGCAAAAATATTTTACACACAGGAAATTTAGGAATTTCTATAATCAAAATGATATAACTGCAATATCTTCCAACTATGATTGGCATTAAACAAACTTGAAATGTCATGCTTTATATTTAATCATAACTTTGAGTAATTAGTAATAGGCATTCAATTCATCAAAGGTGTTAAGAATTTTTAATTTATAGAAAAAGGTTCTAAATAAAAGTAAACTGAACATTTTAGAAGAAAAAAGTTTTAAACTGACTTGTATAAATGAGGCCCACTTCATTATGCATCAGAATTATATTTATTTAAATATTCAAGCAAGTAATAATTTATGCTAATAATCTATTTCAATGGAGATTTTTTTAGAAAACTTACTCTGCCGAATATTTGTTACATTCCTTATCTGGATTAAATTTTAAAGCCTAAATCTTTTCCTTCGTAAATATAGTTGTATTATAGCAAACACCACCAACTATTTCTAACATACCATGTACAATCGATAGTAATAGTAACGAAGTAGGAACAAAATAATACACATATACATTACATTACTCACCCTCTTATTCTTGTAACAATGGCTACTTTAGGTTCATCGGGCACATAGAAATTTCCAGCGTGTCTAGCCTGTCTTTTAAGCCTGATCTCATCCCTTTCTTTACGTCTGTATTCTTTAACATAATTTTCAGCCCTTTTGAAGATTAATCTTCGCTTCTCCTTATTTAACTAAAAAACAACAAATTAACATTAAACAAAGAAAATTATGATCATCAAGACAATAACAAACAATGCAGAACCAGAACGTGATAAAAACCAGGATTAAAGGAATCTAGAAATCAGTTTGAGTAATCATTGTACAAATTTTTAATACTTAACAATATATTTAATAATAAAAGTTCATTTTTTTTGTAAATATGTCAAAATGTGTATCATGGATTGGTGCTTCATTAGTTTTCATTTTGAAAAAATGATGCATCAAATAGTCCAAAAACTAATACAATCATTGAAAACGCACTGCATTTATAAACTGGATCAAATAATTGTGTAAATGTATATTATACATAAAAAGTAAGTAAATTGTATACTTTTTATAAATTTATTCTTCACTAATTTGGAACATTTTTTTAGACAGACTAGTTTTCCCATAATAGAAGAAACTTGCCATCCTGATAGAGAATAAAATGCTGAAAAATTTTTTAGAATTACATATATGAAGGGAGCACCTTTTCAGTGAAGGGCAGTATGTGCAACAGATTAACTGATGAAGGGCCCCATGCCATACAGACATGTTGAGAGCAATTATAGGTAATAATTATTATATAACCATCATTGTTCTGAGCACATTCCTTTTATCAGTTAACCTAATGTTTGCATAAAATGAAATACAGTAGAGCGACGATTATCCGAACTGCTCGGGACCGAATATGGTTCGGATAATGAAAGTTCAGATAGTTGGAAAGTTGTTTAAAATCTAGTTTAAGTAATTAATATTTATGAACTAATTTCCCTTTACCCTTTTTCAGGCGAAGGACTGACAGTACTATCTAAAATAGCTCTGGCGTGTTTAAAAGTTTTTTCTTCTTCAATTTTTAAATATTTATTATTTCTTTTTTTAACTTTTTCAAATCAGATTTCAGCTTTTTATAATTTTCTTGTCAATTACTCATAACGTCATTTTGACGTTTTAGACTGTCAAAATGAAACTCGCATTCTTGAAAGATAATTTTCAGTTGAAGGGGGCTAAAGGGGTATGTAGGTTTAACTGTACAACAATACATGTATGCATGGTTACTATAAGGAAACTGCTAAAAAAGGTTGTAAATATGGTCATCAAATGTACTGAATATTATTTATTATTCAAAACTTAACAACAATTTATTATCAACAATTAGTAATAATTGTTGATAAGTTAAAAAGTATTCTAAAATTTAAAAAAAAAAAAAAAAAAAATTTGGACATAGTTCAAATAATAAGGGTTCGGATAATCGGCGCTTTACTGTACTTAGTAAATATTTAAAATTAAAAACTACATAACATTACTTAGGAAGAAAAAAAAAAACAGGATCAGAAAATCAGAATCAATTTATCAGAAAAAAATTCAGATAAATTGAAATAAATAAAAACAATGGGAAAATTGGTGGTTTTTTTTTTTATCTCACTACATAACACATAAGTTCATTTAAACATAAATTTTAACATAATTTCACATAAATTTCATTCAACATAAATTTCATAGAATTAAATTTTTTTTAAATATTCTATCTAGTTAATAAAGTAAATGCAAGTTAAATATTTAAATTTAAAGAAAGTTTGTAAGGTTAAAAATTATTAAAATAAAAATAAAACCTATTTCTAAACTGGGTTTTGTAGGTTCTGGGTTATTTTCATAAACCAGAGAAAACCCTGACCTTACATAATATAAACATGTTCGATATAAAAGACACTATATAGTACAATACCAAGATTAAAAAAAAGTACCCTTACCTTTCTTTGCTTGATTGATGCAGCTAGTCGCTTTTGTTTTTGCTCAGCTTGCCATTTCCTTTTCTTCAATAATGTCTCAGGTACCTGAGGTAATTTCTTTTTAGGGGATCTAAATTCATAAAAAAAGGTGAATTTATTGAATATTTTTTTTATATACAGTTTAAGGCAATTACATAAATAAGATAAATTAAAGCTTAAATACTACTAGATTTCAAGTAGTCTAGTTATAAAAGAACCCATCATAACAACAGAATCAGTTTTAAAAAATATTTGCTACAATACATCTAGTACTTAATACTATTTAATCATATATATTAAACACCACATATATCAAATTAAACTATTACTGAAACCAATGCATGATAATTTAAAATTTCAGGTAAAACATTAAGCAAAGAAAGTTTATAAGACACTTAGATCAGTAAAAAAAAGAAAAAGTTGAAGATAGAAAATTACTATTTCAAAAATTTACTGGCCTGTCACTATTGGAAATGAAGATCTACTAACATAGGTAAAATTATCACCAATTCATAAGAAAATTGTGAGATGAACTGGACATACCAATCGCATATGCCAGTTATAGTGAAAAGGACAGGTAGGTAGATAACGATAGTAAATCGATAGCATTTTCTTTTACTAATTTCGAGATAGAATAAACCTAACTTTTAAATCAACGTTTTTTTTATATATTAAAAAGTCAAACTTTAACTAAGAAAAAAAAATATGCAAGCTCACAATAAAATACAAATTGACACGTATAACAGATTAGCTGACTAAGAAATTCTAATTAAGTAATTTTCTTGAATACAAAACTAAAAGAAAATATTAAATAAAATAAAAAAAAATATATATAAAATAATATAAATAAAATATTAAACTAAAAGAATAAACAATATTTTCAAACAAATTAATAAGAACTTAACGAGGAGCTTATTACACCATGCGGCAGTTTAGTTATTATATATCACGTGCTATTACACATAATCAGTAGTTCGCATTTTTTAACATGTTGGCAAACTTTATTTATCTATTACCGGGGGTCTATCCAGGCCGAATTTACTACCGTTTAGCGGTACCTTCACAAATTCAACTTTAGGAAAAACGGTAGTTTCACAAATTCAATTTTAGGAAAAACGGTAGTTTCACAAAATACTTTTTCTTAAAATTTCATTTTTGTATCCCTTAAGAAACGATAAATTCATATTTTTGTATTGATTTGTTAATATAATTTTTAATTTTTCACAAATTACGTCTAAATTTTCACAAAATAGGTACCTGTCAGAAAAACCTAGACAGACCCCTGATTACACATAATCAGTAGTTAGCATTTTTTAACATGTTGGCAAACTTTATTTAATGAACTGAACAATGGATACGGAGCAAATATAACAGATTGAGGACTGTTGATCAAGAAAAATTTATCAAAAGATTGCCTTAGAAATATTGCGACACCCAGATCTCGATATAAAAAATCAGTTGCCAATCAACTTGAATTTTATAATTAATATTTTAGACAAATTTTGTAGAGATTCATAGAAACACTATAAGTTTTGATAAATCACACGTTCTTAATACACTTTTCGATATTCAAAACTTGAATACATCTGTGAAGTACTACAATTATTCAAGTTGACTATGACTTTCAACATTATAACAAATAGTTTCTTAAGCTCAACCAGTGTGTGATACCAGACAGTCATAGAATATTGCAATACGAATGTTTACAATAACGTACATGACTTTTAACAAGAACAGAAAATGTACTAATACCAAATGTAAACTGAATCAGTAAAAAATTATTTTAGGAGGCGAAATAATAAATTCAATATCCTCATCATCAATTTGACAAGATCGAAAAGAGATCGTTTGTAGAGTTTTCTAAGTGGTGCATTAAAATGTTTGATAAGCAATAATAACCACAGCTTGATAAAACTACGACAAAATTACACACTTTACAAATCATATGTGACATACAGCATTCATAAATTACATAAAATATAAAAATTGAAGCCTTATTCACATGACAAAAAAGTTAGTTCAAATTTTTACAAAGCATAATATCTTAACATGCAATATATCCCTAAAACAATTATACAACCTATTTTGAAACATAATATCATTTTTAGTAATTAGAGACTTAATTTATTTTCAGGATCAAAACAGATTTCTTACCCAGTATCCATTTTAGTTGCCGCATCGGCCATTATTACACGAAATTTAGAAAAGTTACTTGCGTTTCTTGTACGGACCCAGTTGCAACCACAGTTACTGCAGAGCAGTTAACAAAACAACAGAAATTAATAACCATTGCCATACAAATGTTCTAAAATTGAAATTTTATATTGGTGTTTCAAAAAGACTACAGGGGGCGCGAACCATTACTCTCTACCTATGGAAACAATTTGTACGCTTTCATCATTAGCGCATGTGCGTCAATTTTTCTCTTGATTTTCAAATAGATTAAAAACTTCTATGTTAGGAAACTATATGGAACTAAAAACTACATCAAACATAGATTTTAAAGAAAGCATCGGGGAAATTTTAAAAAATATTTTTGAAAATTAAATACGAAAAATAACAAGAAAAGGGAAAATATATCGTTATATAATCCTATACAACTGACAAGAGGAAGAGAGAGAAGGGGGGAAGATCAAGACATGGAAGCAATCTACTCCCCAGATGGCGTATTCGAGCGTTGCGATCACGAATTCGTAATCAAGCAGTCCATTGGTGATCGAAATAGGTTATAGATGACGTAGCGCAGATCTCTGAACCTATGGCCACAATTCGCATGCTTTTACCATTATAGTCCTAAAAGAAAACGTAGTGGAAATTTTAATTAATTTTTCTGACAATTAAATAGAAAAATGTTAAGAAAGGGGGAAAATCGTTGTGCATTCTTATATAACTGAGAAGAGGAGGAGATGGTCAAGACATGAAACCTGTCTTTTCCCCAAATGAGGTATTCGAGCATTGCGATCGCGAATAGACAGAGTATAGTTTGTCTACTGTAAGAACTCCTCCCGGCACGAATTCTGAGGCAGTCTGCTGCCTCAGACTTCGTGCGGGGGGGGGTAAGTTGTATTCAGCTATGGAAACAAGAATAGCCCATTTCAGGGATGATAGCTTATGTAGGAAGTGTACAAGATTGGCTGACTCAGTCGCCAGTAGGAGACTAATTTAATCTGATTCAATAACTTTCTTAAGATTCACATGGATATTTCTTTCTTCACTCAAAATGATACTCTTTACCCAATCGGTTGTTATTTTTTAAACACAAAGAAAAAAAATTAATGTATTCTGACATTAAGGATAATGTAGCTTTTTTATGTTGCTCTTTAATTTTGCGCTAGTTTCTCACTGTTTGCGCTGTTTAAAAAGAATGTTCATTGATTTTGGTATGGCTTAATTTCTAATTTTACGCATTTTTTAAAGCAGTTAATTCCTTTTATTAGTTAAATTTTATGATAAAAGTGAAACGCTTAAACTTATTAACTCTAATTTTAAAATGTAATAAAACTTTTTCTCAAGGTAGAAATAATTCATTTTATCTATGGCGGAGAAAGTTTCAACGATTTAATCGGTTTTGAAATTCTTTAAAAACCCTTTGTTCATGTTGATGTTGTGTATTCATATGTGTAGATATGTTGATCAATAATATTTAGTTTAAATAATTTAGTAGCTAATATAAATGTTAACAACTGCATTTTCTCCCTTTTTCTTTTCTTTCCCTTAAGGAATTTTTCTTCTGTTGGGGAGGGGGGTTACGTTTTTAATTAGTATAGTTTTTTGTCTTAAATATTATGTAAAATAAATAAATAAAAAAATAGTGCGTGGAGTCCCTCCGCGCGGAAGAAGTTAAACTTCGTAACCTGCGACGTTAATTGTAGAAGAATCAGCAGTCTTAGAAGGATCACTAGTTCTATTCAACAACTCTTTTTCCGCTCGCTTCCGTGCTCTGTAATCACTGTAACATTCTGCATTTTTCCCTCGTGGACCTCTTGAACCAGTGGAAGTGCTTATGGTTGTCTCATCGTCTAGCCCTGGAAAATGTATTTGTATTAATAATGTATGTGAATGCGTCATAATGTAATTTCAGAAGAGAAACAATCAATTGATATTCACAAGAGACGCTAATTTTTTATCCACAGTCATCAAATCATCTGAATCTATCGAAGTTTTTTTTAAAATTAAGTTTTCTTATTTTTATTTTAATATAGCCTGTATAGTTTCTCTCACTATTTATCAAATTTATTTTAACTTTTTTTTCTTTGTCGAAACCAATTTACAATGCATAAAAAATTTACAGATGAGCTATTTAGTAATGAACTGTGTACATTGAACTGCTTTAAACAATTTTATAAAATTTCCATACAGAGTAATTCTCCTATTTATCAACCATTATTCATAGAAACAACAATTTCAACTTGTCAGAGTATTTAGACAAATAATAGCGATGGAAATCACACAAAAAAAAATCTTAAACAAAAAAGCATAAGAAAGTCAAGTTATTAAATTTAATAATTAATGAAAGGCTTCCAGAAATTTTGAAAATGTTACTTTTGTGAAAACGCGGTAGCTCTTTTAAAACCATTTGAAGGAGGTGGAAAACCTCAATAGGATATCTCTTCAAAAGGGTCTCAATATGTGTAAACATAAATGATCATATTCCTACAGGAGTTTGACATTTATGAATGGTATAATAAAAAGGATACTCTTCATTGTGAACTGCAGGTTGCCTCTTAGCCTTAATTCCTTTGTCACTGTCGACTGATGAGAAATACGTCATTTCTTTTTTTAGTGTGGAACCCATGAGAAAGTCTTATTTTCGTTGGAAAAATATTAGTTTTGGCTCACTGAGCCTATGCCCTTTGTTGTCAATTCATTTTTTTACACTAATATCAATGACAAGAATAGCTAGGAACAAGAAGAAGAAAAATTATTGCTTAAACATCTTGTTGCAACAACTCTTTCAATAATTTCTCTTGTTAAAAATATAAGAAGGCCTCTTTTGTTTGAAAGAGGTTTCAAAGAGTCAAGAAAATATTTGATGAATGTGAAAGAAAACTCTTGACATTCTTAATTTTTCAAGAAAAAAATATCGCAAATCAGCATTATTTTTCCGAAATAGAAACTTTTGAAAAAGTAAAAATATAAAAAAAAAGGGAATCGAACTCTCTAAACAATAATTCAGCTGCGAAAGCTAATTTCTCTTCACTCTTGGGCTAACACAATAGGCCGAAGAAAAAGATTCGGTTCTTTCGCCGACCCGATCCAAAACCTGTTTTAAACAGTGATCCCACACCCCTACTTGAAATAGTTATACCTCGTTATACACGGGTCCAGAACAGTTATACACGGGAATATGAAATAGTTATATCCGGGTAATTATGAAATAGTAATACACGGCCCCAGACGAATGGCAGGGGAGTTCTTATTTTAGACAAATTATAAAAGCTGCTGCAGTATAAAGAAGGATCAATAAAAGCTGTTGCAATAATAATAATGATAAATAATAATAATAGAGAAAATTTAAGGTTCAATTTTAGTCATTGTATGTTACTATTTATAAAATTACCTGATTTTTAAAAAACGTTTTCGCGCTATTTTTTTCTACCATTTTTCCTGCTAAAGAAGAACGTTGTTTTAAAATCCTACATTCAAGGACATATATACGAGGGTTGTTTTTTAAGTAAGGCAGTTAGAAAATAAAAACTAAACAAAAGGAAATTTTAAAGAAGCAAATTTATTTTCCGATTCTTCATACTTTCCTTTTTTTTTCAGCATAGTTGCCAAATTTGTCTAAACTCTTATCATACCTTACAACTAGATTTAGAATACCCTCTTCATGCGAACTTGCCGCCTTCTCCGTTAACCAAGAGGTCACGGCTGTTTTCACGAATTGTTCATCGTTGTCACCAAATTGATGTTTGAAATATTGCAAAAGATGAAAGTCGCTCAGCGCAAGGTTTGGGCTGTAGGGAGGGGTGGTGCAAAATTTCCCAACCAAAAGAGTCCAATAAACCTGGGATCTGAGCTGCAGAGAGAGAGTCAATGTCATAGAGAAGCAATATTCTCTATCTGCATGGCACAGAATTTTGCTACTTCACAAATCTGCTAGTGAATGCATGCAGCAAACAGGTTTTTTGCCGATTAAAAGCGCATAATTGACCGTATCTCGTTCGTGGCGGGCGATTTGTTAAATTTGAACATTTTAACGACACAGAACTGACCGTACAGTTTACCTACACAGCTGCAACTGATCACAGTTGTTCCCTAGAAATGCCGGGACACGACACAAGCAATCGTTGCGACGCACGCGTCACCGATTAGTGTACACAACAAAACGACCCTTACTTAAACAGCAATCCTCATAATATTCAGGGTACGTCGGTACAACGGTTGATGGGGAGGGTGCATCGTAAGGTTTAAGAACTGTTTTAAATCCAGGCTGGAAATGTCATGTTATACCACTAGAGCGCCTCCCTTTTAACAACTGGCTATTCATGTGCATTTGAACCGATACCTTTATTTATCTAACTTATCTTAATTTTATGTTTTCTAAAAATTATGCATCACTGGCTGCTGTCAAGTGCGGGTGGGTGACCCTTGGATCAGTCTGCGTAGGGACCGAGGGTGAGCGGTATTGGTCCTCGTTAAACTGTGCTACCGTAAAGTGCTCGACTTCGCGTGCAGCTCGTTGGGCTACCGAAGCGGGGGTGCCATCCCCTCATCGGAGGATCAAAATTGTGATGGCATGTCTTCGGATCATCCTCGGGGATACTTCCCAGACCGTCGCCAATAGCCCATTGTGCAGCTCTAGTGCAACGTAAATGAACTACAACAACAACAAATCTACAAATTAAATTCACATGATCCCAAGAAAAAGATGTTTTGTCCATATTTACGAATTTGGCAACCGAATTCGTAAACTCAATAAGTTATTTGCCCAACCAATAAACTACACGTAACCAATTCGGTATCTATTTGAATGCAATTTTCGACAATAATTATTAGAAACCACAAAATTAAGATAAGTAAACATAGTGATTAAAATACGCACGAACAGACAGTTCCTAAAAGGCAGACACCCTAAGCAGTGTCAACCAGACATCGTCGAGCTTTGAACCTGGATAATTTCTATGAGTGATGATTTATTCCATTTGCCAGTCCATAAGGTCTTCCTATTTAAAATAAGCACTTACGAGCACTGATATTTTATTTTTTTACAGCATAAGGGCATGGAGATGCAAACCTCTCACACTCCAAGATCAAATTTTGTTATCCGTTATATCAGTTGAATATACATTTTGGAGTATATTAAAATAAATTTTCACGCTGAACGACCAGTCATCTATTAGTATGGTTTAAGAATAAGACTACATGTTAGTCAACCTTAATCAATAT